AGTCAACAGTTTCTGCCTGAAGTTGGACAAGAGTTTTTGGAGAATTTCTAAAAAAGTCATTAACAATATCATACATAATAATGCAAAACCTTTACTGTCTATTTTCTACTTAAGTTTCTTCAACTAAAATACTGGTTCACTTAAGTTATACACTGTTCACACACACGCACACACAAAACTAATGACTACAATTGAAATGGACATAATTATAAGCTGGTTTGATGTGCAAGCTTGGTTGTATTCTGTGTTTGCCACAAGCTTCTAATTATAAAGTCAAGCCAAGAAGAAAACCACCAGCAAAGCCTGTTGCTGCAGCTGTATTCCGTTTTACATATCTATAGCCCTGAAAAAAAAAAATTAAAATAAGGTAAATCATTTGTTTTAGAACTTTACATAATTGCAGGGCTTAAAGAGACATCTTAAGACTTAACGCTTGGACAACCAGAGAAAAAGGCTGTTTTTTGCTCCAAAACAAAGGGAGTATTAACAGTAGCTTGCTTCATGAGTGCTTGACACAGGCCACCAACTTTTGCCACAAATGAAGGCAACAAAACATTTTCTTTATGTTGTAATCAAAATGGTTTCACCTTGGAATGCTGGTAAAGACTTTTTTATGCTATTTCATAATAATACTACCTAATAAACTTTGAGTCCCTCATCATAGCAAAGGGTAAAAGTCAATAGTCTCATTCTCCATTTTTACTATCTCTCTGAATCTTTCCTTTGAATACTGCATGCATTTATAAGACTACACAAATTTATGGACAGTTTTGCAGTCTTATTATTATGGAGCGTTCACCAAAGGGCTTTAGAGAATTGAACTAACTATCGCATGTGAAAAATAAAAAAAATCTAAAGAAATGACAATACCAACTACAAAAAATTCAGTTCAAAATAATATAATTTCAACTTTAGGATTTGTTTCATACCCTATTTGCAAGAGCAACAATTCCCCTTTCAATTTCTTCCTCATTCTTTTTTATCTTTTTGACTTCCTTTTTAACCTTTGTAGTAATTTTATCAACATCCTTTTCCATTCGCTTCCAGTTAATGTTGATGTATCCAGCTCTGTGAGCAACCTAAGAAGATAAGACAAAAAAAATTAATTTTTATCAGAGCTGAACTGCCAGTGAACACCGTTTTATTTACACTCAACATGATAAATTAATTACAGTGAGAGTTGTTCTAAAGAAGATTTTTTTTATGATAATTGTGACTCATGTTTTGACAACTAAGTAGAAATTACTGTAAGAGTCAAGTGGTGAGTTGTTGGCGTGTTTTATAAATCTGGTTCCTGAAAACTGATTGGTAAATTTACCATGGTTTTATTGAGCAATAGATCACAGTGTCTGTCTGTGTACTGGTGTATGTAATAGTCCACGCAGGATGTTGGGAGAATACGAAAAAAGTCTGCTAATCATGAATCAGAGGTGAGCGAATTGCAGTAGAACCAAGATTTAGTCAAGGGGGGGGTTCAAAGAATTGTCTAAGGGCATGCTCCCCTGGGGGGGTTTGAAAATTAGGTCTTCGGAAACATCATTTCCAGCACTTTGAAGGAAAATTTAGGGGGTTCGACCAAACCACCCGAACCACTCCTGGATCAGCCCCAGGGAATGATAGGTTTTTGACCGATCAGCTTGCCCATAGTGTCTCAGTTATTATATAATTGGCTGTAAGAGCCTAAGAGTGTAAGTCAGGCATGATAGGTCACTTTCAATCCTTTGGTAAAGTTAGGACATTCTGTTGCATTTGGTTGTTGTGTCAGTGTTTTGTATAAGCAACTATGTTGTTGGAAGTTGTTGAACAGAGGAGTGAACTAAAATTTAGTAAACCATCTTTCCCAATTCTGTAGATGAAAGAAGTTTGCAAACCTGTATTAGAAGTATTCCGCCTCCAATAGCAGACAAGGTAAGTTTACCAACCCTCTTAAACACATAACCAGCAAACCTACAGTGAAAGCAATGGAATCACTCTTTATTGCAATTACCAGCTGTAAAAGCTCAAAGGGAAACTGAAAAGGTATGATGAAATTTTTTCACTAGTTACTGTACTCAAAATCTCACTATATAGGGGGCTGATTTAGCTTATTAACTAAAGCATCATTAGTTTTCTAGTACAGGGAATGGAGGTGCCATCTTACTCGGCTGCCATTGATGAATGTCTTTTTTCTTTTTCGAATAAATCATTTTCGACTAACTCCATTACATCAGTCACACTAAGTATTCTGTTCGTTATAAAATTCGTCAACCAAAATCTGAAGAATCACATGGAAATTTATCAAGTATCAATGTTTAGTTATTGTCTACATACCAGCCAGAAACTCCCCCAATACTAATTTGTTGTACGACTGGTCGCCCTGCTAAGTCCATAGTGATCAATTGCTCCACTAAATTTCTCGTTCCTGGAGTCTCGATCACTTCATAAGGTTCACTGTCAACCTCATCATCTTCGCCTGAAAAAGCGAGAAATAGCAAGTACTACAAATATTTTATCTGATAATATCGTTAAGTGTCGCAAAAAAATATAATTCAAATAAAGGGTGAGAAGTTTAACCAGTCCCAAGTAGCATCCGAATTGTGTGAGAAAGAAATCTGGTGTCTTTCAAAGTTTTTCTTAAACTTTTCCGATCGTTTTCCATTAAAAGAAAAAAAAAAAAAAAAAAAAAGAGTCTCAGATTGCCAATTCAACCCAAGAGTCACGCAAAGGCTTGAATGCAGGAATGATTAATTTGTTTACATCGAAATTTGTACAGACGTACAATTCGTACATTATGATAATGGTAAAGTTAGGCAAACAGATGATTGAAGAGGTCGCTGAAAAGCAAATCTTTTGAAACACAAATAAGTGGAACATACTTTGCGACATCTTCTGCTGATGAAATATTACCTAAAGTGTTGGTACCAAAGTTCAAAGGGAGAAGGAACACTTGTATCAGGTGCTGAAATGTGTCTCTGTTAAAGGGCCTTTTATTCTTCGATTTTTTTCCAGGTTATTTAAAATATAATGGTGGAAAATTATTCTTTGTAGCAGGACTTTAAAGCTAAGGTTTACCTGATTCACGTTACAAAAATAACGGAATAGCTATTTTAGTCAAATTTGACGAGTTTCGTTTGACCAGAGCAAAGTGCCATCTAGGGAAAACAAATAATGTCCCTATTTGACTTTGGTTTACATGAAGCAAAGGCAACCGGCCATATTGTGTTCAAGTCTCCATGGCAGTCGACATTTGATGTGTTTATTTATTACTCTGTGCAGATAATTCGTCATATCCCCCAATATTCTTATTTTTTCGGCTAAATTATTGAAAGAGGATGCATTTGATGTTTGTTTATGGTTAAAAGTGTCTTCTTCGTGTGATAACTCGGTGTTGAAAGAAGAAAAGTCGTTCCTTAAACATTCGACTCATTAAGTGCAGCCGCCATTATGAGCGAACAACTGAAGTACATTGTAGATGAGCTGAACAAGGAACCTTTCAAGAAGAACTATAACCTCATAAGGTAAACCTTTAAATTTTTCTTTTTAAACAGCTTCGATAATATTGTCACTGCGTGGCTGGCTAGTAAATAAGCTTTATATTGGCAAAATTTAAGGCTAAATGTAATTTAATTATGAGCCAAGTAAATATTTTTGCAGACGAAGCTCAAAGATGTTGTGGATAAGAACTTATTTTTTCTCCCAAATTTTCAAACCATTGTAGTTTTTATTTGACTATCTTTCATGTCATGATGATGAATACTAAGCTGAGAAACTAAAATGATAGCAATGACAGATTTGAAACACAACTTTTATCTTTAATTCGAATTAGCCAAGAAAATTACAAGCTTGCCAGAGCTTATGATGGATCTATCTAATAGAAAATAACACGATTCAAACCCGAATTTGAACCCTAAGGACTTTCATCATTTTCTTTCAGCTTTGATTCTCTGCAGCCACTACAATTGCTTCAAGTACTGAATGATGTTTTTGCAGAAATTAATCCTCAGGTTGGTGATGTATGAGCCTCTCTAGCTAAGGACAATTAATCCATGCAGGGTTTCTGATAGAGTGCCTTAATTTTTTTTTTACATGAAAAATTGCTCAAGATTATTTTTTGTTTGTCAACAGCACAAAATTGATCTTCGGGATGAAGAGCCAGAACAAATGACGAAAAGGATGTTCACATTTTTGAGAATCCTGAAGTTCAAGCCAAAAACAGATTCTGGAAGCCTGTAAGTGATATTAACCCTTTTGCTGCTAAGATCTGATCGGTAATTCCCCTTACTGTCTGCCATACAATTCCTTTGATGTTGGTTTGGAGAACTTAGCATTGGATCAACTAACAATCTCCTTATTGATATTTTTCTTTATTCTCATAACTTGACCGCTTCCCAGTTAGTTCAATGGATAGAGCGCTTGACTGTTGTGCGGGAGGTCGAGGGTTCGAGCCCCGGCTGGACCAACACTCAAGGTCTTAACATAATTGAGAAGAATATGCTACCTTTCTATAACATCAAGAA